GTTTTGCCATTGCCTTCTTCTGTGTGTGAATGGAGTAATTGTTGGGATGCCACGGAGGAAAACTCCGTGTTGCCTAGACCACGGCCTTGCCCAACACAAGTTATAATATGTAATGGTATATTTCATTAAATGTCTTTATTTAATTCATTGAATGTGTGTATACATCTTTTTGGGACATCTATCACTGGGCGTTCAAGTGTTAAAAGCCAGGCCACCTCTGTTATCATCCGACTGACGCAAACTCTCCACTGATACAGTGTTTTTATTATGTATTCCATGCGAAAAGCGTAGAGTCTGTGAGGTGGTACTTACAATGATGGTGGTCACTATATACGTTTTATTCTTTTCAATCTCTGATCCTGGCTTCAGTCGCACGTATTTGGCTGCGACAGGACTAAATCCGAACTCGTCGGTCCACTCAGCAACCTGGGAAGATAAACTCAGTTTCAATTCTAGTTGGAAGCTGCGGACAGAGGGAAGTTAAGTGGTGTTCATATTCAGTAGCCGTTAATGAAATTTCTGGCCAGAATATGTGGTATCGCTGTCAGTACTTGAGACTTTGTAACGTAAACGATAGGATTCTTCGTGGAAAACAATTACAGAAGGAAATGATGGTGGTCTAATTTAAGTTACTGTCCCGACAGCTACTTTAAAGGATTAAATAAAACCACGAAGACTTGTCAGCCTGTTTCGGGCCAGGATTTTAATTCGGGACCTTAAAAATATAAAAAACTGGATCGTTAATCACCGGGCCATTACGTTCAGTAACTAACAAACAATGTAATTTATGGTAATATATAAAAATTGAATTAGACTTGATTTAACTGGTTGACAAATGAAGTTTAATAACACTGGTACAATCTGTAAAGAGATATTAAAAATGTATTTATGCGGAAATTTCCAAACCAAATGTTCTAATCAGTCGAATTCCATATCGAGAAGCTGTGTGTAAACACCCCTCCTTACAAAAGAATGTTTCAGCGCTTATAATAATAAACATTATAATTGTGAACGCCCTTGTCATAGCTTAGTTTAGAAAGTTTATTTTAACTCGGCTGAAATAGGTAAACGTCACCATGTCACATGTATTAAAACCGAAATGCTGAAATCTGCAGTGAAGGTGGTTAAATTTTCGAGTTTTGCAGAACGCATATATTTCTAATTGAATAAAAATTTACTTGGATATTATCCATCGTCTAGTAATAAAACGTAAAAAACGTAAAACGACGTTTCGGAGATGGGGCTCTATCTAGTGGGCCCAACTGAGTAGGAACCTGAAGACGGAGATAGAGCCCCATCTCCGAAACGTCGTTTTACGGTTTTTACGTTTTATTACTAGACGATGGATAATATCCAAGTAAATTTTTATTCAATTGACTCTTCACCATCGTCAAGAAGTTTTAGATTTGGCATATATTTCTTGATTAAGTGGGTACTGATAATCCGTTTATCGGATGCCCTATAGGCTTGGCAGGACGTGGTCGTCTTAATTTCCTTGTTCTTGCTTTGTTTTTACGTTTGGTTCGTTGATACTGAACCCAGAACATGAACGATGTCACCCAAAACGGAAAACGTTTGTTCGGGGACGCGGCACATGAATATGCAATGTTTTTTTAGAATGAAATTTGCGTGTACGCAACCGATGACCGGTAAATTGAGCGTAGTTAACACTTGTTGAGGCTCACCTTAACCATGGCACTGTTGAACGTCATTTCCACTACGTGCAGCGTGTAATTCTGACGTTTTCCGTCGTCATTGAAACGTATCTCCCCTGTTAATCCCTCTAACTCCACCTGTAACAACATTTGATACCATCAGTAGCGCTGTTGTGTAGTGCAGGCTGCGTTATGTTCACACAAACGAGGACTTGACGACAGATTCATGGCGGTGTAACTGGTACATTCGCAAAGTAGGAATGTCAGTCTATCTCTAATTAACCAGCAAGATAATGCGTAAGTAAAAACTGTATAATAATTCTGATAGTTACTACTAAAGCTAGTGCGGCGGATGAATTCAATTCCGAAAATGCCTTACGAAACATAAAATATGACCCGAAATGTTTAAATTTATTTAAGTAATAATTTTCTTAATCTCAGGCGGGATCTATGGGAGATAGGAGTTGAAGGAAACTGGATTTTGTTGGCCCAGGACAGGGTCCGGTGGAGGGCTTTGGTTAATTCGGTGATGAACCTTCGGGTTCGGTAAGCCATCTAGTTAGTTAGTTAGTTATCTTATTGAACTCAGGAAGGAGGGTGGTGATTGGATTAATCTGACTCAGAACACGGCCGGTAGGAGGCTAATGCAAAACCGGTAATGAACTTTGAGGTTCCAAAAAAATGGAAAATTCCCTGACTCTCTGAGCGACTGTAAGCTTCTGGTGAAGGATTATACTCCGTGGGATTCATTTTATTGTGATAAACGAAAGTGTAGTCATGCATTGTGATGTAGCAGTTTTTATCGGGATTAGAAATTGTGTTCATTGACGGTAGAACTGTGATCCTCTCCCTTTCAGCTTAAGGTGTGTTAGTGAATTTTATGTATGCTTCCATGTAGACTGTAATGTGAAGTTCAAATCCTGAAAATCGTAATCCCAGTTGAATGTGATTGATGGTCGCCGGGCATCATCTAGCCTAGCTTCATCGTCTCCTTCGTCCTCGTCTTCACAGTGTCTGCTTATCCCTGATGGCTAGGCCACCTGCTGTGCCATGTGACGCGGAAAACGCCCACAGTGGTCCGTTTCAATGAAAAAAAATTCTTCCGGAAACACTGTGTGTTCTGTGCTTAACCCTTTGGAAGAACAGTGAACAGAGAGAGAAGAAAATTTTGGGAGAGACACTACATTTAACGGAGGGGGGGGATTTTTTGACTTTTAAGGTTTCCATTCAGTGCCCGTTCGTCCTGGTAAATGTAGGTGAAGATACCGTAGAAGGCTTCTGGAAGAGATTGTAGACTGATGAGGTAGAATCTGGACTTGAAGCTCGAGGCTTATCTAAGTTGAGTTCCTACCTCAAAGAGAACACCACGTGTCTCCATAACAACGATAAAAAGGGGGATTAATCGGTGTTTATGCCATGCTCTGCGTGCTGAACGAATGGTTGTTGATTACTTAACCAGGTGGTTAGTGACTGCTGGAACCTTGCGTTTGAAAGTGATTAGAAAATGTCACCCTCGCCCGCTCGTTCACTCCCACTATCCTATATCACGTGGCTGGTTAGTCATGACGTCATGGCTGACTTATCGATCATTCGTTGCGAGGGCTCGACTTTTCTCCTTTTCTACACTGGAAAATTAAATCTAAGGGAGGAGAGAACTGGAGAGGAAGATGTGTCTGTGTGTGGTGGGGTTAGGTCTCTTAGTATTTGAGCGACTTCAATCTTTACTTGATGGAGTACGAAACGGTAGCAGACCGAACAAAAGAGGAATAATAGTAACACCGAGGATAAAATAAGATCGGTCGGTCGGTTCCATAAAGACGGAGGATTGAACCATACACACACCGTTCTGAATTACAGCTTCCAGACTGTCGAGTCAGATGGGATTAATGTTGTATTTATTCCGATGAGCTTTTGTTGATAGCAGTGAAATAAAAGTTTAAGGAGGTTTGGATTTCTTTTACGTCTTATGGAATTCACCATCCAAGACGAAAAGGGTTTTAGCATTTATATGTCTATAGGCAATGCAATGAGCCCCTGTGGTTTTCGTTAGATGAGCCAAGTTTAACGATGGTCCGTTCCTCCGCCAGAAAGACTTTGCTATCGGTTCAGTGTGACTCCATCAGCGGACGCACAAAGACTCAGCTGAAGACCTTAAATCTTTAAAGCCCGGTGGTAACTATAAGTGTCGTCTAACGATCACTAACTGTGCAATTTTGTATTTGTTAGTCTTTTACTATTCTCAGTGTGAACAGATATTAATTATGATAATATAATTAACCTATTTATCTTTGCAGTGGTGACCCATTGCATTTTCTTTGAAGTACGGACTGAATTCTGAAGTATTGTTTAGTGGAAATTCGGCTTCGAAGGGTTTATTTATAAAATAACCAAACTTAAAATGAATTTGAAGCATAATGTACTTCTAATTCGTGTTAAATTAAATTCTGATGAGACTGGATTTTGATTAAGGACTACAGTAGCTACTGCTGGCTCGTATATGGAAGCATTGTAACAATTCATAACTGTCACAGGTGCTAATCTGTTATCCTAAGTACAGTTTCACCGGTCGAGATGCTCTCATGAGCTCGGAAAAGGACGACCGAGCATCGCTTGTACTTGTCCAATAACTGGCCAAGCCGCGATTTGCTGTTTGGCCAACGCCGTAGAGAAGTGGGATCTTGGCCCATCCCATTAAATCCTCGCACTGATCTCCACACGAGATCTTGAATACGGAGAGAACAAATCTCCCCGCAACGACACATGGATTCCAACGAGCATTGTCTGGTCAGTCGCCATCTGGTGATCTAGAGGGAAACACTTTTCTATCTTGAGGAATTGGCTTGGAGCTATGAATTTTCCTGTCTTACGAACTTTAGAGGAGATTTTGGAAAAGATGTATGCGTTAGTGCTCCTTTGCGAGAAATCCTACCGGAATTCGTCCACAGATCGTTTTTCTAGGCAAGAATTCTGCTTTATCGCACCTCGGGCCTGCGACACGGTAATGAAATGAGTAGCCTCGCATACGGACGCAACTGGAGTTGTAACTTCAGCCATGCAGAAGGAAGCAGTATGTTCTTCCGAAGCGTTAGTCTATAAGATTTTAAAACCCAGAAGTACAACCTCGACATTTTAACGTATTATATCAGTGGATTTATGTGTTGTTCTGTCGTCTTTACGCTGTTTCTTTCTAATTTAATAAGATCCTAAGTCATAAGTAGAACTAATCTACCATTTATAGTGTTTTTATCCCAGTAAATCGTTGTTTATTTGTATATGGTTTGGCGCAGTGAATCTACGAAAACATTTAGTTTCAGTAAGTTTAGAAAAAAATTCCGGTTTGCAAGCGTCAGTTGTCGAGTTGCTCGAAACTTCGAATCCGTAGACGAATAAACTGCATACCTTTCTCAAGTGACGGGATATCTTGTCCCCGTGCTCCCAGGGAGTGACCCAGCCTTGGCTCGTGTTACAGTCCATTCCTCTGCTGCCGTTGTTGAAAATCTGACCTCGCCGGAAGTTTGTCCGAAACGTATCCGGCTTCTTCTTCAGGATCTTGTTGAACGCCTCGACCAATACAAATACTGCATCGTACATGAGCGCTGACTGTGCCTAAAAGACACGTCACAAAATTATGTACAGAATCTTTCGTTAATTTGTGGTGAAATTTAGATGAATTTTGGCGTGACGTCGAGGTTTGTTCTGAGAGATAGCTATTAAATAGCTACAATATGTATATGAAAATTAATTTGAAAGAATTTAAATTTTGAGTTCTGCGTTTTATTATGCGGTATCAAGGAGAGCGGAAAACCTACCGAGATGGACTCCCGGCCTGCACCTTGAGACGTGTTAGGGTCTAGCTTCCGCCATCCCTCCAGGAAGTCCTTCACGTATCGTCGTGATGAGTCTATTATCCTGAAGCCTGTGATGTTGATAGCACCATACTCGATAACTTCACTCTCCCATCGGTCGTCCATAATCTGCACAAAGCAACACCACACGAGTTACTCACGAGCACAAACGTCGAAGACCTGTTTCTGTGAATTCCATGATGGTCTCATGGAAACTCACGTCGCTGTAGATTTGTTAACACTTCTAAGTCGTATAGGGAAGTTACGGGTTCAAATCTCTGTCCGGGGACCAGCTATCCTAGTTGTTTTCGTGATTGTCCTCAGTACCTCTACGAGATCACGAACGCTTACTTCCTTATCCTTTCCAATTCATTATTCTTCGTATACTGTAGGATTATACTGTAAGCTGCTGACAGTAGTTTTTGTTAACACGCTAATGAACTTCCGCGTTCTATAAAGAGGTGGAAAATATCGTGGCTGGGTGGGTAACTATTAGCGTCTGAAAGACGATTATGCACAATGTAGTTAGTTGGTGGTCAGTTACGCAATATATGGCGCGTCCTCGAGTACGGATGGAGGAGAATGCCTGTAGGTGTGAAGGGTAGCTCAGATTTTGATTAATAAATGTGACGGAAGACAAGGGGTAGTCCTTCAACTTGAGGTTCTGCCATGGGTGTCTAATAATCTCTTACCTTAAAAACTAAGATTTTACTAAATACCACCTGTGTTACAGAGTCTTATTTTGAATTATTGTTTATTTATCTGCGTGTGTTACTAAAATTTAAGTATTTGTTTGTTTGTTTAAATCTTGTCAGTCTAATCACAATACAAAATTCCTATTAATATTAAAATATTACTATAATTAACATTTAAATATTTAAATGTTAATTATAGTAATATTTTAATATTTAATAGGAATTTTGTATTGTGATTAGACTGACAAGGTTTAAACAAATATATATTTATCACAATATGACGCAACTTTATCATCTCATAAAATTTAAGTTTCATTGAATCTGCATTTATCATTTCTCCGCCCTATAACTCATTGACGTGTCTGCCCCGCTATTAAACCCACAAAGATTATAGTGCCCTAGTGACTGCGCGCGGCGGGTTGCATCTCAGCCTGTTCAGGGAATTAAGTATGGTAATTGAGAAGTGAGACTTATTTGACACCGCTTTGCGTTCGCATCTCTCCGCACATGTACATTAGTTCTCTAGCGTAAAATTATTCACCAAATACAGACAAAGATGTCAGAACTCCAGCTGAGTTGTGTTTCAGAGTGATGTCTGGAAATAATGAGCGGGCTAAAATGGAATTGTTTGTCCGTCAGTCTGTAGTCGGTGTATCTTCGTCATTGGTACAAGGTTTTAATTTTTTTGTGTGTGAGTGTACACAGGAAGGGATATTAAAGTATTGAAAATAGGATTTTTTTAAGAACAAGAATAATGCGACAAATGAATGCACTGAATTGGGTTTAAATAGAATGGTTTTCAAGGCTGTTTTATGAATGTGGAATCGGTTTGTTCTGCTGTCATCGTGTATTAAGGTACTTTTGTCCGTAAGACGTTGCAGACTTTATGTAGGTTTGTACTCGCTTTAAAATACATGAGTGTGGGTCGTATTTATCTGACTGAGGGGTTCCGGTGTTGAACACGTTAATGAACCTTTGGGCTAAATGAAAGGCGAGGCATTCTTTGGCTAGCTGAGCGACTGTTATCTCCACAAGAAAGTCTATGTTTCGCTCGATAAGAAACTGAAATGATTTTAACCCGGCAAAGTCCTTTATTACGTGTAAATTTACGAGCGTAGTTGTTTGAAATCTGTCATTCCGTTTGAAGAGATATTTTTCGGGTTAAGTTGTTCAGAACGGGAAACTGCTCTCTGGCATTTTATCCTCAGATACTCAATACGTAGTTTATAAATTTGTTCTAAGTAGTTAAATAAAATATTGACGGGGCACATAGTTTGTAATTGGGAGATAAGGACCATATAAAACACGCCTGACCGAAAGAGAGCACTTGCAAGACCTAGATGTAGATGGGAAGGATAATACTAAAATGAAACTTAAGGAAATATGGCGGGAGGGTGTGGACTGGATTCATCTGGGAACTTTGTCAACACGTTAATGAAGCTTCGAATTTGAAAAAAAAAAAAAAAAGGCAAAAAGATGTTGGATAGCTGAGCGACCGTCAGATTATCAACGAGGACACTGCTGCTTGTAGTTAGTCAAATATAAACAGTGTGGTTATCAGAGCGGTTAGCTTTATTATACAGAACAACGTTTCTGTTGATTTTACAGTATCAGAGGCGCATGATACAGGATAATTACAATGAATTAGTAAGGTACACAGAGGATCCTGTTTGCGTATGCAACGCACGCGGCGTGGGACTTCGATTGCTAGGGTTGGTAGTCTTGGTTGGGAGATCCAGTCGGATGTTCCGTATAATTCAGTTTAATGATCCCAAAATTGGACTCTGGATAGAACTGTGTGTCCGAAAGAAGCGTTGTTTAATAAATTAAAAATGAATTAATAGAATGAAATAATTATTTTTGAAATAACAGAAAATTTATAATAACACGTAACTGTGTAAACATACATATTACGTTTTTAATTTCAGATAAAATATTAGGTGCTTCAAATTTCTTCTACGAGTGGTACAACAGTACTTACCAATCCGCTGAGCAGGTAGTGGTAAGTACGTTTTCCTAGTGTGACGTCACGAACGTGGCTCACTACAATTTCCTTGGCCATCTCTGTGGGACAGTCCAGCACCACGTACTTGTGGCTCCACCTGGCAGCCATAAATAAAGACTGCGTTTAATGTGACGCATTTACAGAAGTTCCACGAACTTGCATTATGTTCAATGTCAAATGTTCTTAACCCAACTCTTTCAGAGAAGTGCGTTACGTCAGCACATACAATGAATGTAACTGATTTATGTGGTAATTCTTAGAGAAATTCCGGGGTTTTCGAGTTCCATTAAAGGCGGAAAATGTCTTCAATACCCTATCGTTCTCCCACTAGTTTATGTCTAAGAAAGTAAACTGAAATCGCCCTGTTGATGGAGGCAGCAGGGACCTCTGAAACGACCGTAAACTTCTACCAGACTAAGTCGCCTTACAATACCGGGCGCCATGAACACCTCGATTCCTACTGTAATTAAAAGTTGTTTTTCTCGCGACACTCACCTGCTGAGCTCCTCCAGGCCGTGCAAATAGTCGAGGGCTTCGGAGATGTTCTGGATCCTTTTCACTGACTCCACCTGGAAGGATTCTTTGCCGGGTCGCAGGCTCTGGTAGATCTGCTGTAGCCTGAGTAGACCTAATGACAGAAGAAGTGTGCTTCGTAGTCTGTTGTACAAGTACGTAATTTAACTGTACGTAATTTAACGGTGGTCTAGCGGTTAGAACGCTGGCCTTGTAATCCTGGGGGGTCTCGGGTTCGATTCCCGGCGGTGCCCGAATTTATAACTTGTGTTGGGCAAGGCCGTGGTCTAGGCAACACGGAGTTTTCCTCCGTGGCATCCCAACAATTACTCCATTCACACACAGAAGAAGGCAATGGCAAACCACTTCTGGATCATCTGCCAAGAACGTATATGAACAGGTCCCAGTCCGAGAAAAGGATGGAAGGATCCTGTTCATATGGACCTGTCGTCAGACAGAACACTAAATAAATAATAAAAATAACAGCTGACATGCGGGTTGTTTTGGCGACAGTTTATTTTACTCGTATCGATACGACAAACCTGATCGAAGTTGATATAATTGCGTCATATTGCGAATTAAAATTTAATTATTTGTGATTTTTTCCGTCTAATCACGATTGTATATAAATAAAATTATACATAAGATATTAAAATATACCTGAAGATGGTTCGATGTAACCGAAACATGTAGTAAAAAGTTGTACCAAATATGTAAATGATATTTTAATATCTTATGTATAAATTTTATTTATATACAATCGTGATTAGACGGGAAAAAAAACACAAATAATTAAACCTGACCTATTCGAATTTTGATCAGAACACAAGCTAGTTTAGGTTTGTCGTGGTGTTTATCAGTCGTGGATGTTACTCTGAAACAGGGAGCGACCGCTTATTATGTATCGTTACCTACCGCTGAAATAGTCGTAAATTAACACTTCAGCCACCTGAACTCCGGTACACACGAACTCTCATTAGCAATGCATTTTAAGCTATCAGTGATAATGAGATTGGAAATTTGCTTTATGTCGATAATGGTAAACTACGTCACTCAAAAGATATGGGCGAACTACCTGACCTCTGTGTCACATTTCCCCACATAAACTTAAGTTCGCATTTTTTTCGTAAATTAAAAATATCGATTTGTGATATATACGTAGATCAGCAAATGAGCCGGGATAGCTCAGTCAGTATAGTGTCTAGCTACGGGCTGGACGACCGGGGTTCGATCCCCGACGAGGGCAGAGGTTTTTTCCTCTTGCCTCTGCGTCCAGACCGGCTCTGGGGCCCACCCAGCCTCCTCTACAATGGGTACCGGGGTCCTTTCCCGGGGGTAAAGCCGGCCGGGGCGTAATGCTGACCACTCACCCCCATCTAGTGCCGAGGTCAAGGAAGAGAGGAGCTATACCTCCTCTCACCCCAAGCGCCTACATGGCGTATAGTGGGACAAACTTTACTTTTACTTTTACGTCGATCAGCAAACCTAGAAATTGGCATTAGATCGATAATCGTATACTACGTCACTCAGTTTATAAGCATGGAAACTGTGATTATATCTGTTACGAGATTCTTGTTACAGTTCAGTGTAGATTTTTACCTGTCTCCTGTTTTAAATGTAATAATTAAAGTATGAGTCTATGGTTTACCTGTTGATGGTTCGCCCATGTCAATGCAAAAAGTTATTGAGCGTGTTTCAAAGCAGTGTCGAGTACATTTTTGTAACATTTCTTTCAGCGTCCAATAACTTTATTTTTTCGATGTTCCTATGGACTTTGTTTCGTTCTCAAAAGGAACAGTGACAGTTTTTTCTATACTTAATTAACTTGCTGATATCTGTAGTATGTTTTATCGGATGTGGGGAACGATACTTAGCTGTTTACTTTTTCCCTTTTCAAATGTTTAAATAAGTTTTTATGTGGACCGTCTGTCTCCATTTGTGTTACGATTCGAAAAAGCTCTCGGCACATGTCCCTTGGAACTCCACACTGCACGGCAATTTAATTAAGAGGGAGAGAAGAAGGTTCCCCAGTCGAAATTATTGCCACGCCGCCAAAGTAAAGCTTGGTTACGCTGATGGGCTCATGCGCACGTATTGATCTCATATCTGGTACCATTTTTGCCTAATACCAAAGTGTTCCTCTTAAGACAGCCTAAAATCACATCTATATGTTGTAAATTAGAGGCACGCTCGTTTTCTGAGCATACGGTGCATACACTTCAGAGGTACCTTCTGCCTCCATCGTCAGCCGTGGTAAATATCTTCCATGCTACATTGTCCTACGACCCACAAGACAGCAGGCTTCACTTTCAACTATTGTCGATGAGAAGAATTGATAGTCTTTCCTCCACTCGTCCATTCAAGGTGTGTTGATGTACGAGGTGCGATCGGAAAGTTTCTAGACTGCGCGTATAAAAACCCGTACACTTATCTCAGGTATTAAATTCATCCATCACCCTCGAAGTAGTTCCCCTGGGAGTGAACACAACGATCCCAGCGCCGCTGCCAAGCCTGGAAGCATCCCTGGAAACCTTTCTTTGTCAGCCTGTCAAGCACCATCTGCGATTCTGCCTGAATCTCTTCTATCGTCTCAAATCTCCTTACCTTTAGCTGAATTTTCATCTTTGGGAAGAAGAAGAAGTCACACGG